GCTGTGGTTGCCGAATTTGATCCAGGAGAAAATGCCGCTATTCCTTCTGCTTTCTGTCTCTAGCTCACAATCAGTAATTGGCGTGGGCTGAATGGTAATCGTGAATGCAAGTAGTGGTAAGAAAAAGGAGGTAAGGTGAAGGAGATGTACTGTATTGACGCACTAATAGGGCAGAGTGAACAGGAGGGATAATAACGAAGGCCATCAATCTTTGCAAATATTTGTACAGCAGGGAATTGGGGCTGGTATCTAGAGTAGGAGGGACTCAAAACCATAGCTGTCAACCGTCCCTTATTTGGCGGGAAAGTCCCTTATCCCAGCGCTGTGTCCCGCTGCTTTCCCTTATTGATGATGTCCCTTAAATTTCCCAGGTTTCAAAGGAAGCAGCTCTTCTCCCTCCCTCCCTGCCGGCCAGGGAGGCTCCAACTGTGTTGCTTGGCTGTGTTGCTCACCCAATAAGAAGTCTAAGAACGACTGGGGGGTGGAGCTTGCATGCCTTGTGCTGATCAAATCGGCCACGTTGCCTGGGGACTCGCCTTTGCTCAGCCCTTCCCAGCAGAGAGGTGACGGTGGTTTTCCTTGCTGCATCCCCTTTGCTGGGTTGCTGCACTGTGGGAACCACCGCTTGAGGCTTCGTTTGGCTGCTGGCTGGGCTTTCTGCCTTTGGCTCGGAGGGGCTCAGAAGTTGAACATACCTGTGTTTGGAAAATCTCTTATTTTGGCTGCTGATCCCTTATTTTCGAGGCTGCTGGTCCTTTATTTTCAAATCTGTAAGTTGACAGCTATGCTCAAAACTGGAAGACCAGGAGTCCCCCTGGATTAGATGCTCACTGCTATCCTGGGTGAGAGAAGGTAAAGGAGGAAGTGCAGAAACCCAAGGACCCACTTCTGATCTCACCATGCATAGTTATGAGGGCAGCGGCAGAAAGTCTAAAAGAGCCAAATCATTTTTTTCCCTTCAAATTTATTTATTTGGTTGGTTTTTCAAATTAAAATTTTACAGAGATATATCAAACATAAATAGTAAAAAAAAACTAATAGGTTCTATTATTAATTATTTCCTCCAGCATATTTTATGATGCTCCAAATCCTTTACCTCTTCCATTATGTCCAGAATTCAACCTTAAACTACAAGTGATATTCTAATCCTACTAACGAGTTTAACTATTTACAATTTTTCCCCATTCCTTATTAAAATTTTGGTCTTCCTGATTTCTGACTTCCAGTCATTTTAGCCATTTCAGCATAGTCCATTAACTTCATCTGCCATTCGCCTCTGGTAGGGACTTTATCTTCTTTCCATCTCTGGGCCAGTAACATCCATGCAGCCGTGGTCGCATACATAAATAGTCTTTTCTGCTCCTTTGGAATTTGGGCACCTAGAATTCCTAAAAGGAAGACCAATTCCCATTGGTTAACTTATTGGTAACAGAACATGAGTTGTACAAAAATGAAAGATGCATTACGTTCTAAACTTGTTAAATGGTGAAAATTTGGACAACCTTGAAGCAGCTAAAACATACCTGGGTGGTCCAATTGAGAAAATCTCATATTATTATTATTTTTAGTTAGGGTTTGAAATATTCATTATTTACTGGCCACAGTACGAAGGAAATTCAGCAGAAATGTGAATGTAGAATTACCTTTATTGTACTATGAACTTCATACAATTTCTGGATTCATCTGCAATTGTTTTTACCTTTTTTGTTCTGTCTATCACTTATTAATATATTTAAACCCATTTTAACCACTTTTTTTTGCAAAATAAATAAATTATTGTCCCAATACATCAGCCCTTACCCATACATATAATAACAGAAAAGCTAAAATCAGAGATATTGCAGTTTCATAAATGGCAAAGAAAGTGTGTGTGTGTGTGTGTGTGTGTGTGTGTGTGGATGACTAACACAGGGCCAGCCAATCAAAGCCCTGCTTAACTAAAAAAACTATGGAGGTGGCCTTGTTATTGGCCCAGGAGCTGGCCATTCAGTGATGGGTAAATCTGGCTTCTGCTGCAGACCTGAAGAACTTATTCCTCCTAATCTTGAGTTCAAGGGGGAAGATCATTATGCACCTTAAATGTGGACAGTGTGCATGCGCTGAAAGAGCATATAACTATATGTATCTTTTGGGCTTCAGATTTTCATTTTAAAAATATTGAGGAGTGGGCAATGTTTCCTCTGACTCAGCCTTTGGAATCAGAGAAACAATTCACAAAGTTTATCACGTTCTTGATATAAGGAGCTGGACGTAATTGGGAGGAAAAGAACCGCACCATTACTCACAAGTCCTTTGCTAGGAATGTATAATCCAAAAAGAAGAAAGGTGTTGCGGGAGGGCAAAGGAGGAAACCAACCTGAAATAAATCCGCTGGTTTATTTATTATAGATGAGTGAGAAATCTTCAAGAAATGCCTTGCTTGGGATTCTGTTAGCGTCAGCAAAAAGAATCATTTGAACTTCTTAGAATCCTTGTGTCGCATCCGAATGCCTCATCTTAATATTGCCGTTTCGTTACTTAGTTCCTTTTATAAATTTGCTTCCTGTGAAACATCTCAAAGCCATTTAATGACAAAAACTGATACAGAAGTGTTAAGGTGAAAATCATTCTTTGAAATGGTTCATGTGTTCTGGAAAACCTTCACACCTCTATATCCTCTTTCCCCCTCTGGCCATATTGTCTCCAAATGTGGTGTTAAAGCAGTAATGTCGGTCTGGGGTTTGTCAAGCTGTGCAGCATTGCAGGTGTGCATTCGGAGCAGGGCAGAGAAAGCATTGCTTCAAAATATGTTCAGTTGCCACATGGCAGTGAATTAGAGCATAACTGGGAACTTCCGTGGGAGACGGGCAGCTCCCAGTCTGGATTTTATATTGATAAAAGCTTGGGGGCAGCAACAGCCAAAGCAGCAATCAGGAGAGAGAGTCACTTAGGATATGGTTACCAGATGTCCCTGTTTCCCGGGGACAGTCCCTGGATTTACAAATCTGTCCCTGGACAAAATGCGTCCCTGGAATGTCCCCAGATTTCATTTAATGTATCCAGATTTATATTTTAAGTGCTGTAGATTTATTAGTATGGAATGGATGTTGCGTGATTGGTTCAACGGGACAAGACACATCATATGGGGACTTCCGGTGAGACAAAATGGCGGGTGCCACAGCAGCAAGCAGCTCCTGAAGCCAGACAGAGGAATGGCTTTAGAGCTAATTAGATCGAATCTCACATTTCATCTCGTTCAGCCACTGAAAAATGCGGAATTCAGCCATCCGTACCCTCAGCAGCCAGTATCAAGGCTGTGCAATTAATATTTGGCATGACGTAGATCAGGGGTCAGCAAACTTTTTTAGCCATGGGCTGGTCCACTGTCCCTCAGACCATGTGGTCGGCTGGACTATATTTTGGAGGAAAAAAATTGAACGAATTCCTATGCCCCACAAATAACCCAGAGATGCATTTTAAATAAAAGCACACATTCTACTCATGGAAAAACACCAGGCAGGCCCCACAAATAACCCAGAAATGCATTTTAAATAAAAGGACACATTCTACTCATGTAAAAACACACTGATTCCTGGACCATCTGCGGGCCAGATTTAGAAGGCAATTGGGCTGTATCCAGCCCCCAAACCTTAGATTGCCTACCCCTGATGTAGATCAATGATATTTTTCCACATCGGTGTTGGGTGGGCGACTAGTTTTGTTGAATTGGAATATAACTTTTAAGTAACAAATGCCATTTTTAATATGGAAAAAAGGAATAGAATATTCTACAAAATATTTTAAATAAAGAAATTACAGGACTGTCTCCAGAAACTATTATTATATTTGCTATTTCTTGACAATGAATGAAGACTACAGAAGCTGCTTAATCCTGCAGCTGCTTGCTTTGGGGAATTAATGTTGTTCAACATGATGCCTCAGAGGATGCACTTAATAGAAGAGGTTTTTTTCTATAGAGTCTGCTACTGTGCAGGTGTCTGCGCTGGTGAGTATAAATGGTGACAGAGAGCAAGGCCTTCTCTGTTGTGGCACCTCAACTGTGGAACTGTCTCCTTCTGGAAGCACGAATGACAACATCTTTGGTTGTGCCGTCACCAAGCAAAAGCACACCTGCTGTTCTGGACCATTGGGGGGGGGGTAATAGTAGTGTTTCTCCTTAATACATGGGGGGGTTATATGCTGCTCTGTTTCACTGTGGCTGGTACTATTAATTATTGTGCAGTGGTGCCCCGCAAGATGAATGCCTCGCAAGACGAAAAACTCGCTAGACGAAAGGGTTTTCCGTTTTTTGAGTCGTTCCGCAAGACAAATTTCCCTATGGGCTTGCTTCGCAAGACGAAACGTCTGGCGAGTTCTTGCGAGTTTGTTTCCTTTTTCTTAAAGCCGCTAAGCCGTTAATAGCCGCTAAGCCGTTAAGCCATTAATAGCTGCTAAGCCGCTAATAGCCGTGCTTCGCAAGACGAAAAAACCGCAAGACGAAGAGACTCGCGGAACGGATTAATTTCGTCTTGAGAGGCACCACTGTGTTTTAATTGTTCTCTATGTTGTACAATATTTTCTCTATGTTAGAAACTGCACTCTATACAAAATTTCAAAGCGAAACAAATACTCCATGCCCTCTCATAATTTCATTTTATATCTTGTATAACCTGTTGTTTATAGCGGGGATAACTTGAAAACAGCGCATAGCCCCATCTTGAAAATGTTTGTATCACTTGAAAGGTTGTTTTTCAGGTGCATTGAAGCTTTGAATTCATGAATGAAACAGGTTTGGTATCAAAGTGATCCGAAATGTGATGTTTTTTGGAAAATAAACTTGTCTGCTTTGAAGCTGGATGTGTTAAAATGAAGCTGAAGTCTTTAAAGATTTGCTTCCTCTATAATCCCCTTTCAAGCAGGAGAAAAGTGACAGAATCAGCTTCTGTACTGGCCAGAGCTTACAAGTCAATTGGTTAGAAGTTTTTCAGTGTGATAAACAGCTCTCATTGTGTTCTCCGCAGGTAGTATTGTATCCAACATCCAATAGCTCAAAGTCACCTGAGCTGCATAAAATGATCGTCCCCAAAAACAGCCAAGACTCTGATTTGAGGATAAAGCTGGCAGTGAGGATGGATAAACCGGCACACATGAAGCATTGCGGGTGAGTTTTGCAAGCAGCAAAATTTTAATTCTGTTTCTAGTGGACACATAGTTTTTGTTTGGTTTGTTTTTTCTTCTACTGTATAATCCGAAGGGGGGGGGGAATTAAAGAAATAATGCAAGTATGACTAGAGGAAATGCAAGCTTTGTTTAAACAAAGAGTAACTTGTGGCTTGAATTGAATGTATAATAGAGTCATTTGAGGATCAAAAGCCGTCAGGGAAAACTAATGTATGCAAGAATGAATATTCGCTGGATTTTTAAAAGACGTGCTCTTGAATTTTGGCATTATGGTTTCAATCAAAGGTTTGTTTCTTTAAAAAAAAAACTTTAAATATAAATTATTCCTGTCTCTTGTGTATGAAAAAAATGCTACATGCAGTTATTTTCTATTGTAATTTTCTAAGAGTTTGAGATCTGCTCACCATTCCTCATTCCCTGTGAATAGTCTAAAACATTGGTTTCCAAGTAGCTAAGTATTGCGGACCTTTTTCACAAGCCAAGCTATGGACCCCCTACTTCTGAAAGTTTTGATAACTTTATGGGTCTGCGGACCACCAATTGGGAACCACTGGTTTTTAAAAGATGATGTTTTCCATACCCAGGGTCACCTCAGGTGGCAGGTTGAGGACAGTTGAGAGGGGCAGCAGATCTGTGCCCTGAGAAACATGCCACTCATTAGCTCCTGTGCTTGTTGCCCCAGCTCTTCCGCCACTGCCCCTGTTTCTGTCCGGCCTCCTTTTTCCTTTCTTACCCCTTTAGCACAGCGGGGCTTCGCCAGGCCGTCTCCAGTTGCCTCAGGTAGAAGAGGTGGCGCCATTTTGTATTTTGTCCCAAGAAGCACAATGTCTGGGGCTGGCCCTGGCTGTTGCCCATAGTGAAATGAAGGGGGCATGGGAAAATCAGGTTGCGAGGTGACGGGAAAATCTCTCTGTTTGAGGAATAAAAAATCGCACTGGGCATGCCTCAGCTCTTCGGCCCACTCAAAGTAGCTCAATGGATCCTGCTCTAACAGTAGTACTAGTAGTAGCAGTAGTAGTAGTAATAATAATAAAAACTAATAATAATTTATACCCCGCCCATCTGGCTGGGTTTCCCCAGCTACTTTGGGTGGCTCCTAACAGAATATTAAAAACGTGATAAAACATCACACATTAAAAACTTCCCTAAACAGGTCTGCCTTCAGATGTTTTCTAAAAGTCATATAGCTGTTTATTTCCTTGACATCTGATGGGAGGGCGTTCCACAGGGTGGGCGTTGCCACCGAGAAGGCCCTCTGCCTAGTTTCTTGTAATCTGACTTCTCGCAGTGAGGGAACCACCAGAAGGCCCTCAGAGCTGGACCTCAGTGTCTGGGCTGAACGTGTCAGGAGTTGAAGGAATCTTTGTGTGGCTGCCCCATGTTGTGAACCACTGAACGACTTTCTCAGGAAAGAACTTTCCAGACTGACTCTGCCCACCCCAGGATCACTGCTAGAGCTTTATGGCCAAGAAGGAGTGGGAAAGCCTTCGGTTTTTTTACTTGCACTTTTATTTTTTTATTTTTTGCAACTGAGCGATATCATTTGGCATGGTGGGATATAACTTTGGCACCACCCTCCCAACAACAGCAGCTTGCCACCATGGTAGTATAGCGTCAGGAACTGGCTGGATGAGGAAGAGTGTTGGGAGCCCCCCACAGAGCCTGGATGCTGGCGGTGGGGCACTGAAGAGCAGTCTGCTGAAGGGGCGAACTGAGAGGTGCTAGAAGCAGGGGGGTTGAGTCATCAAGGGGGGACAGGAGAAGTAGGGCCTTCCAGGACAGGGTTAGAGGTCGAGAGTCACAGTGTGAGGACAGACAAAGAAGAGTCAGAGGTTGCCCCTCTGGTACACAGCAGCAGGACAGTCCCATTCCTGATGGCTCGCCTCCCCCTGTGACATCCCGGTTGAGGAGAGTCCTCCACGTTGCTGAGCAACAGGCCTGACAGGCCCAGAGGAGGAGCTCACCCCCTTGACCCAGCCTTTGTCTGCTTGGGAAGGATCCAGAGTCGTGGTTCCCAACAGGGGGGGCAATTTGATTTTTAAGGGGGGCAATTCGAGAATGAGTTATTAACAGTTAATGGCCTTTTAGACTTCCTCCACATGAATAGGAGTTCACCTTTTGAATGAGAAGAATTATGTGTCCCAAGGGGTGGGGGACGTGCACCAGGATTTTAGAGATGCTTAGATGGGGCATGGCCGAAAAAAGGTTGAGAGCCACTGGTCCAGAGTGAAAGGCGGGAGGGGGAAGCTAGTGGTCAGTTACAGCAACGTCTCAGCTGGGTTAAGGTGAACCAGAGGACTCTGCTGTTATTTTCTGTTAATAAAAAGCTAATTGCATTCTGTGCCTCCTGTGTGTGTGCCTGCCCTGTGGTTGACCAGGCTCCTTAACATCTCCTTGACACATAGACAGGGTTCATGGACAGCAACAGTGGAATTAACCTTGAGTTCCTGCCAGTGTGTCTGTGCAGCCCATGGTTTCTCCACTGCCTGTCTCAGCCCTGTCTCAGCTGCAGAGGTGGTTAGACTCTGCTACTGTTGTTGTTTAGTCGTTTAGTCGTGTCCGACTCTTCGTGACCCCATGAACCAGAGTAGCCTCGAGAACACTGTCCAACCATCTTGTCCTCTGCCGTCCCCTTCTCCTTGTGCCCTCCACCTTTCCCAACATCAGGGTCTTTTCCACGGAGTCTTCTCTTCTCATGAGGTGGCCAAAGTATTGGAGCCTCAGCTTCACAATCTGTCCTTCCAGTGAGCACTCAGGGCTGATTTCCTTCAGAATTGATAGGTTTGATCTTCTTGCAGTCCATGGGACTCTCAAGAGTCTCCTACATTCAAAAGCATCAATTCTTCGGCGGTCAGCCTTCTTTATGGTCCAGCTCTCACTTCCATACATCACTACTGGGAAAACCATAGCTTTAACTATATGGGTCTTTGTTGGCAAGGTGATGTCCAGTATCCCTGCCAAGAAAACTCCATGGACAAAGACCCCGCTACTACTTGTTCCTAAACGCCAGTGTGTCCCCATGTTCTTGGCTCCCCTTCGGTCCTGATTTGCTGTTTGCTTCCAGTGCCCTCCTTGTTCCTTCATCCTGCCTCCTAGTTTTGGCCCCAGCCTCGCTCACCGGTGCCAAACACGGACCTGCCGGGCTCCCAGCTCATCTCAGCCTGCTGCCCACGGCCCGGCTCTGACGGGAACAAAAAGCCTCAGCGACGCTGTTCCCCACAGTTAAGTGTGAATGCCTTCACAGGCAAACGGCAATAATAATAATAAAAAACTCTGCCTGCGAAGGAACAAACCGTTCCTTGTGTACCAAAACGAAAAGGTCACTGTATAAATAATTTATGGCAGGATTTTTAAAAATTTATGAAAAATACTATCTTTGAGCTCCAAGCGAGGGGAGCGGTTTCAAATGATTAGGATGTTACTGTTCTGCCTACAGTCCATGAACAGTACTGTTGCCCCTATCGAAGAGGACCTCCCTATATCCAGTGGTTTTAGAAAATCAGTTCCCAGGTTCTAATATTACCTTCCTTGGTAAGGTGATTGAGAGTGTGCTAGCCAGGTAGCTGCAGGTATGTCCAGAAGCAGATTATCTGGATATGTTTCATTCTTGTTCCAAGCTGGTTTTAGCACTTGGCCACCCTGGTTATCCTTGGAGAGACAGGAATGTGTATGGCCCTGTTGCTTTCCCTTGATCTCTCAGTGATTTTCAACACCATAGAACATGGTGCCCTTTTGGAAGGATTCAGGGAATGGAGGCACTGTATTACAAAAAATAAAATTGTGGGTCTGTCTCCACCCCTTTCCCTGTAATCCCCCAATCTCACTCCAATCTTTAATCTCCACTCGTCACCTGATGAGCAGAGATTAAATCCTGCTGCCTACTCTGTGAAATCCGCAACAGGAGAACAGGATCACACAGCCAGGGCAGGATCAAATCTTGTCCTCTCATCCGTCAGCTAACATCTCCAGCGGCGTCTTGTCAGGGGGCTGTCAGGAGAATGCAGGTCATCCACAGGTCAGGAGTATGACTTGAGACACAAAATGCAACTAGCTTTTACTCACAAAAGTAAAAAACAACAACAACGCAACAGAGCTCATCAGAACTAGTCTCCCCTAGTTGAAGACATTGCTGGAACTGGTGTCTGGCCCCTCCTTCCCTCTCTAGGCCCCTCAAACTCTACTCCTCCCAAGCAGCCATAGACTGCGGCGACAGAAAGAGCTTCCTCTCTGGGCCTGTCTGGCCCATTGGTCAGTGATATGCAGGACTCTTCACGTTCTGGGTGTCAGTGGAGGAGGAGAACTAGCAGGAATGGAGCTGTCCAGCTGCTGTCCAGCTGCTGTCCAGCTGTAGAAGTAGCTTCTGCCTCCTCTTCACTGGTCTGCGCTCACACAAGATTCTTGGCACCCAGGCCTGTCATGGAATGGCTTCCTTCTTCCATCCCATCTGTGCTCACTCGAACCTCCTCCTTCTACTACCTCCCAACTTGTCCCTTCAGCAGACTGGTCCCCACTGTCCTGGGTCCATGTCTCCTTCCTTTGTGTCATCCCTGGTGGTGGTCACCTCTCTTGCTCATCCAGTCAGACCCTGACATGTCTGTGGCTTGAAGTGTTTATGCTGGCCTTACATTGGTTCACTGGCACAGTTGTTTCTAGGCTGGGTTGCCCTGGGCTTAGTTGCCCATTCTCTATTGACCTTCCATCTGGACTACTGTAATGCTCTCTTTGTGGGGCTGCCCTTGGAAGAGGCCGCAGCTAGTGGAGCATGTGGCTGTTAAGCTGGCAAGTATGGCAGCCTGGTGGTACCATGTGTTCTGAAAGCTGAGCACCGGCTTCCCGTGAGCTTCCAGTCCCAATTCAGTGTGTTAATACAAAGCCACAATCAGCTTGAGACTCAGGTAGCTAAAACAGTGCTGCCCACAATATCAACCATCAGACTCTAGAGTCAAGCAGGAAAAAGGGCTCTGTTAGTGGTGCTGCCTT